ATAATGTACATGTTTACAAATATGTCATGTCCGAAAAAGCCTTTTTTAGAGGTGTTTGGACAGTTCATAGCCACAGTTCAAGTGAAAAGCTCTCCGCGCGCGCACGGTGAAAACTCTCACTCGGGCTTGTTATAATCACTATGAATATTCCGATCAAACTGAATACAATCTTACATCAACAACACATGGCAACCAACGCGTTGATAATAACAAACAATTATATTAGATTAAAAACCTTCTGAAAAAGTTTTTGTTTAGCGCGTCACGTGTGCAGGTCAGTTTGGTGCGTGTGTATGATACAAGTGAAGAGGGAGAGACAGAAAAGAGGAGCGCTTTTTTCACAATGAGACCAAGTTACATGGGTCCTCGTTCATGTCTGTTTTATTTCCATTGGCGACTCCTAGAGGCAGTTGTGTTAAATTGCACTCTACAAAGTGTCTTTGAGCCGTGCAATGGCAGCTGTATGAGACGGGTTCATCCATATGTCTAGCAGGTATATAAGGTTTCCATAACATTGCAGTTGATCAGCCAAACATTAAAGTGCAATGTGCAGCAGTCGCCATTTTTCCCAATGTAATTGGAGCAATCTACTGCACACACATTACTATAAAGGCACTATCTGAGGATGAATTTGCATACGTGAATCAGAAACATTTCCATTCAATAAATGTGCAAATAAAATATGATGCATACACTTATTAATATTTCCTACTTTTCTTCCTCGTAATGGAGAGTATAGGCAAAATCTGATATGTAGCGGGGGAAAAAAAGCATGAGTTCATCAGACGCTGGATTCAAACCGAGTTCATGCTCTAACGTAGGGGTGCACGATTTGGGAAAAATATCACATTGCGATTATTAAAGGTAAAAATTGCGATTTGCGATTGCGATATGATAAACATGTGCTATGACTTAACTTGCTTGTTATTAAGAAAAATGCACACACAGATTACTAATAATGCTGAAATTTTTATTTTTCAACTGAGATACAGAATACAGTGCAATCTAGCAACAACTGGAAATGAACAATGTTTTCAAATTAAAACAAAGTTGTACAAAATTAAATAACAGTAACATCTTTACATTACTGAAATAAATTCCATTAAATTAATTTTAAAATAAAATTAAAAAGTCAAATGTACAGATAAATAAAACAAATACCTATTTTTTAAAAATATTTTTTCATTACTACTTTTGGCTTTTATCGCCATGCATTCATCATACTTTTCTCTGCTGCTTCAGGTGCTGATATAAATTTGTTGTGTTGCCACGTGATGTAGCAATTTTAGTTTGGCAAATTTTGCACTGTACCTCTTTCTGCTCAGTGTCCGATATCCTGTAGCCAAAATATCACCAAATAACAGAGGTAGCATTTTTTTCCTGGGCACAAGTTCATTGTTGGTCTGTTCTGTATCCATTTTCTCCCGTCTCTACACTGCGTGTATAGTCATAAGAAACTAAATCGCTTTTTGATCAACTACTAAAAGCTGGAAAAACATCTGATAAATAAGCCAATGAAATTAACATTATTGCTAAATAGATTCAATATTTACACATTTGCTTGAGGAAGGAATGTTGGGGGAAGTTACATTACTATTACTGTTTTCCATAACGTCTATGCCCTTCCATAACATTAGCTGATGTTAAAACTTACAGATAGCACTATAGCTATTTATTGATTAGCAATCTGTCAACGTTGAGATGTAAAAAATATGGTATAACAAATAGCTTCAAATGATAGAATACATAGCAAACAAAATATTGACAATAAATTAAAAGGTTTAGCCTATTAAAATCAATGGCCTATACAGAAATTAAATAAAGCTATAAAATCTTTGATTGTATTTGCATATTGATTAAAGTTACTATAGTTATTTAGTGAAGAGCAGCAAATGAATCTCTCATTTTGTTTGATAACAGAGGTGTTCATGTGAGAATGCACAGATCTATAATGAAGCATTCGACTACTTTAGTAACTGTTTGTGCTCATTTAAGAAAAAATTAGTTGTGTTTAAAGTAAAACACGCAGGACGGACATGTTTACATATTTTTAAGTGTATTGTCTGTTTCAACACACACCTGAATCTGAGCAGAGCAAAAAAAAAAAAAAGAAGCACTTTTCCGATGGTCCCTTACTAAGAGCTCCTCTCAGTGCGAGCTCTCCTAGCTACACATAATGCGACTGCTTAAACGGAGCAGTGCTCATTATGTCAAGCGAAAAAAAGAAAAAGACAGCTGTGAAACATAACCAGGTTTGTCTTTTTGTAGGAAACACACTTTAGAAGAGGTTTTTGAGTTATTGCCGTCTAACACTGAATGTGTCAGGAATATCGAAAACAAAACCAACTTAACTGCGCTCATTTCTGGCGACCCCCCTGGATGTACAGCGCCCTTAGCATTTGCCTATACTGCCTATGCAGCGGGCCTTAGTGCAGATAAAACATTTTTTTAAAGGTGTATTTGTATATAGAGAGATATATGTAACTACATAGAATAGACAGAGATAGATTGATCTCTGCAGCAGCTGCCAAAGAGCTGCGCGCTGCTGACGCAGCTACTGTGAAAGGCAAATGCCTGCGTGCTGCTTCTGCTTTCCATACGCGCTGCTTACACACTGCTTTCGCTTTTGTTTATTTAATATAATCGCATGATTTGCTGTAATGTAATCACATAGGCTGACATCGCGATTGCGATATGATTAATCGTGCAGCGCTACTCTAACGTGTCAAAACATGTTGCCATGCGTTTTACGAGCTACGCCACTCACGCTGTTTAGGACTCTACAAAATTTTACACCTTTACATCGCACTATATCTTTTTTTAATCCACTCAGTGCGTTGTTCAGACCCAACTGTATTAACCGCATCAGCTAATCTCTCCCACTCGTTTTTTCTTTTATTAAATTCTGGAGAACAAACTTGCAAATAACAAAGTTTTTCTCCGGCCTTCCTTCGAAAGCAGCACCTCTAAATCACATTCTGTTTAAAGTTTCTCTTTTTGCTTGCTTTTGACATTGCTTTTTCGGTGGGTTTTGCCAAAGTAGAGTCATTAGCATATTCATACGGGGGAGGAGGCAGGGAGGCATGTTGCGCTCAGTTTCACGTTCATTTGGATGTACAAAGAGAATATGCATGTGATTCAGCGTAGGCAGTGTTTCATGCATCTGAATTTTTTACTGCGTACGCACATTTACAGCTTTTTTCATACGCAATGTTTGAGTATGATTTCAACGCAAGTCTTCGTACATGAGGCCCCTGGTCTTTCCAGACAATGATCGAGAATAAAGCCTTACATTGTAGTATACTCTGAATGAGCAAAGGGCACGCACTAAACCCAGTTGCCAGGGGATTGCACTGTCTGACTGAGGCACAACTCAGTGCTACCTCACCTCGCTTCCTACGCTGTAATTAAACAGGAGATGCGCAAAATACAGCAATTATGGTCATTAAAATGATTGAAATCAATTAAATTATACCGAAATTGCATTTATAGCACAGATCAGTGGACAAATATTTGTTTTATCCTTATACATCTCATGATTGCAGGTGAGGATGATGCGGTTTGGGTTTGGTCTAAAAAGGAAGGTGTTCTGAGGCGCACTGCTGGCGCGTTGCTATTTTGAGAAACTAAAAAAGATTTTTCACTAGACCAAAACAAACCCGGTCTAAACTCCGGCGCAGTTGCGCCTAGCTTACACACTGCTTAATACGCAAAAGAGAGCAATAGGCAAATATCTTTACATATGAAAAAAATTTTATATTAAGGATATAATAAGAATAGATATAGAATATAAATATAAAGGATTAAAATATTACAAAACATATTATTTTCTAGCCTACATGAATATAAAAAACCACTGCTTTTATGCCTTCTTCATCTCGGGAGGCTTTTTCAGTTCATTCATAACAATTTGCTTTTGTATAATGTTAATATTATTAGCAGTATTATTTATTATATCCATATTTATATTTGTTTTATTAAAAACAAGCTTAGATTGGCTTATCTGCAGGTTTTAGACCATACGGTGCACAGCATGTGTTTAAGGATATAACTCAGGTTTTTAAGCACACTTTGTTATTATTGTTCATTTATTCGTTTGCTGAAATAGCTTTGAAACGAATATTTGCGCTTAACAAGTGCTATTAATTATTTATAGACTAATTGATGTCTGTGCAAAGGTTCCCCTTATCCAAGAGCGAAAGTGAAAGTAGATCCATTATCTCTCATTCTCCCGCAGTAGATGCTCTGTTTTACAGTTTTCCATAAAAAAAAACTGTTAACTGTTTGCTTGTGAAATGCTCAGTTTTTCCACTTAGACTTACTTTACGTCCTGTAAATAGCGAATGCGCTTGGCAGGACGCAGCTGGCTCTTAAAGGGAATGGGAGATGAGACTCTAATTGGTTTATTCTCAAACCCACCTATAACTCATTAAGAAAATAAACTCAACCCTTTTAGACCATGCGCCCTGACGCAAAGCAGATTTTCCCGTCCTTAAATTAGCAAAAATGCATTCTGACACGTCCTGAAAGTGTTTGCGCTCTGCGTTTTGCGCTCTGCGCATGTACAGTAAAAATAAAGCCCTTTGTGTCTTGGTCACAGATGTGACAACAGGATGTGCACCAACCATTTGTCCTCTTTTAAACTGTCTTTTGGCTGATATGTCACCATAATGTTGTGTGCATTGCAATATTTTTAGCAAAATTGTGCTATTACGCTAATTAAACCTTCACACTCTGCTCTTACTGCTGGAATGTGCAATAAATAATGATTGGCCACTAATCTGGTCCAATTTAGCCACAAAACCTCCAACAATTAATTGGCCAGTGTTTCAGTTTAATGTCCAACCCCTGTATATGCAAATTTGTACATTTGTAAAATGCATTTTATTTACTAGTTACTTGGCATTGAGAAATCGGAATGAGTTTAGATACATAAATTTGTAAATAGTTTCCAGTGTTTAAGTAACCATATTTGAATTTGCCAACTTTTTATTATTCAGGAAACAAGAACATTAGCAGAGATTGCTAAAGCTGAGTTGGATGGAACAGTACTTGGAAACAGACCCATTCGTATTCGCTTTGCAACTCATGGGGCTGCCCTTACAGTACGAAACCTTTCTCCAGTAGTGTCCAATGAGCTTCTTGAACAGGCCTTCTCACAATTTGGCCCAGTTGAGCGGGCAATTGTGATAGTTGATGATCGAGGCCGGCCCACAGGCAAGGGGATTGTGGAGTTTGCTAATAAACCTGCTGCCCGGAAGGCCTTGGACCATTGTGCAGATGGGGCCCTTTTACTTACAACGTAATAACTTTTCTTTTTTAAAGGTTCATTCATTTATTTATGTTTGTTTGTTTTTTTGCATGAATCTGTATTTATTTTTGGTCCTCAGGTCCCCTCGTCCAGTCATTCTTGAGCCAACAGAACAATATGATGATGAAGATGGGCTACCAGAAAAGCTGTTACAAAAATCTGCACAATATCACAAGTATGTCTTGAAATCATTGACGGTCCTTGTTTTCCATTATGCTTCAATCATATCTAAAGGGTAAAAATTGTCTTTTGTACATTTTTAAACTAAAAAACATCAATGAACTAATACAGGGAAAGGGAGCATAAGCCACACTTTGCACAGCCAGGCACCTTCGAGTTTGAGTACTCTTCTCGCTGGAAAGCACTTGATGAGATGGACAAACAGCAGAGGGAACAAGTAGAACGGAACATACAAGAAGCAAAAGAGAAATTGGAGACTGAAATGGAGGCTGCCAAACAAGAACATCAACTAATGATGATGCGACAAGGTATAGTGCAGATTTAGAACATCAACCAGTTTATTTTGTTTATTGCAATATTATGAAGAAAATACTTGAGTATTTCAAAATAATGTTAATTGCTTTTAAAGGCAATTAGGATTTTTCTATTATATTATTACTGATTAAGACAAAAGAGATGAGTATGCAGTGACGGTGATATTACATAGTAACTGTGCGGTCACATGTAGCTCTTTAGAGAATGTAGTGCTTATGTTCTTAAATTAGTCAATTGTAATATTTGTTGACTTAAATCAATAGATCTCATGAGACGTCAAGAGGAACTACGGCGCTTAGAGGAGCTCAGGAATCAGGAGCTACAAAAACGCAAGCAGATTGAGTTGAGGTATGCTTTTTTACCTTTTTCAGCAGAGCCCTTTACTGCAGAAGGCATGGACAGAAAGTTAGGATTACTTTTATTAAAATTGTATTTATTTAAAAAGCATGTAAAGGCTAAAATGAGCACCTAACTCGTTGATTTTGGAGAAAATCTAAACTAATGGTAACTTAGCAGTGAAACTAGCTCTTAAATTGTTAGAAGTTATGAAGAGGCCTCAAACTGTCCTAAAATGGCTGTTGCTATCAATTTTAGAAACAGTTGGTGATAATGAGCTTTTAAGTGATAATGCAGATAATTTGCTAACATATGCAAACTTGATTATGTTGACATGCTAGGGCTGGGCGATTTGGCAAAAAAAAAATCTAGGTTTTTTATAAAGTTTAATCGATTCATGATTTCGATTTCGATTTTTTTTATTTTTTTATTTTTTTTATTGTGTTACTAGTCTTCTTAAAACATTACAACAACATGACTGAAGTAACATTCTCTTTAAAAGTAACTTGAAAAACCATCTGGTTAAGGAACATTGTATTTTTAATGGCAATGTCATACAAAAATCAGTCAAGGTGTAAATAAATGTAAAACTAATTCACAAGTTAACTAGCATTGCAGAAGATTTGAATAAGAAATATTTGTGTAAATATTGCACTTGCAGGAATACAGAGGTATTTTTTGCAAGTTTTGCTGAGCCTAGGAAAGATTGGCTGTCAGCTCGACTTTGTTCTCTGATTAAATGTCAGGTTGTAAAGCTGCTGCCTTTTTCTTAAAAAGATAGTGGAAGAAAAGGACTGAACATGGAAACTGTAAAGCCTAATTTAATCCAATGAGTGAAGTTGTGGACGTATAGCAAGAGCAAATACAAGTACCACATGTGTGTCTAATATAAAATAATATGTTTAATCTATTTTTCTTTTTTCCCCCTTTTTAATACCGATCATTTGATGCGCTTTGCTCCACTATCTGTATTATGCTGCCTGATCTGTCTGGTTTTCAACTAGGTCCGCTAAATGACGTCATGGGGCGGGTACTTACATTTTCACTGCTACAGGCCCTCACCTCTGCTCGTGTTCAAACCAAAAGATCGGCGCGGTTTTTCACATGGCAGGCTTTTACATCCTTCATACATGTTGAGATCGAGTTTATCGACTTGATGAGGGAATGTCTTGACAATCCACACAGACGTGACTCAGACTAATGCAACAAAGAAAATCCTACATGACTTCACGCTTTAACAGGAAGTCGTACACCAGGTCGTACACCAGAAGCGCCACGACACGGCGCCGCAAGACAGTTTAAACTATCACACACCAAATGCGCACATTCGCATGATATTTAACATGAAACGAATCAGATGGCTGTCTGTGGTGCGGCTGTAATATGAACTGCTTCGTGAATCGTGGCTGGGCGGCGTCGGTGTGTGTATAGAAACCTGTTTAGAATTCCAAAATTCATGGCGCTGCGTGGTGCCGCGCGACGTGTCGCCGAGAGGCGCTTCTGGTGTGCTTCCTGCTTCATACAGAGGGTGAACCAAAGCGCATTGGTGCCATTATAATGTATTAAATATATGTTTTTTTTTTTTTAAATCGCGATTTCTCGATTTGATTCAAAATTAAATCGTCTTAAAACGTAAATTCGAATTAATCGAAAAAATCTGAAATATCGCCCAGCACAATGACATACACACAAATAATGTTATTATTGTATTACATGCTTTTTTGGAGCCATAAAAATACTTTCAATGAGCTTGTCTGCACTACCCTTATAAAGAGGGTAAATAGCAAAGACTGATGGCTGCTAGTTGTGTTAACAGTATTCAGCATTTCGGAGTGGAGGGAAAATTTCAGGATACCATGCACATCACTCAGGTTTTAGATATGTGAGCTTGTTGATCTTCGAACGAGTCAACAGTAGGCATGGGCCAGTAAAAGATTCTGAGTGTATGATAAGCTTGGATAAAAATATCACTGTTTCATGGTATTGTGATTAATGCTCTAAAACATGTTCTCAAAAAACAGCTTTTTATCCCATTAAACACAATGGGCTCTATCATACACTCAGCGCTATAAGGCTCAGGTCTTGTAGGGCATGATTTGTTGCTATTTTCATATGAGCGTAGGTTTTATTTTTACGTTTTGCACCATGTTGTTTAAATAGCAAACCCATTTGTGGACACATAGGTGTGTTGGTCTGAAAAGGTTGGTTAAGGCATTGTTTGTGCATTGTTATTTGGGGCAACTGAGATAGACTGTGGCATTGACCAACAAAAAGCAGCAGGGCTTAAAGTATTCCAGCAACATGCCCGATCTCCGACGTGCGGCCGTGAGGAAAAAAAATATTTTAGAGCCTGCGCATGCGGTTTAAATATAGGGATGCTCAAAATGACCGATTAACCTTTAACCGAAAGAGTGCGTTTGTAACCGATTAATAGTATCAGTTATGCAATTAAAAAATATACTTTATATATTTTTTAAAGTTTGGCTACATAAGGGGCATCTGTTGAATAGTATACTAACGGCCGCGAGTGTTTTACTGTTGCGAGCTGTGTGCTCGAGCGGAAAAAGTGTGTTACCTCAGTCGCGTCTTTTTCATTCTTTAATCTAATGAAAGCACTGCTGAGTTTCTATTGAGATAATAGCAGTGTTTGAGTTGACAAGGCGACTATGGCAAACTTTTAATGATGAAGAAAAGACTTGTGGTTGCTGTTTCAAGTTATCCAGAGCTGTATTACTTTACAGATCTTGAATATCACAATATTATTAAATTTACAATTATAACATCAACGGCAACATGACTCGTGCACACCAGCTGACTTAGTTGTTTCCTAGTGACATACATTAGACCACCGCGCTTCTTTTTTCTTGTCACAAATTTTCTGTTATGTTGCCAAGGACTACATTTATGAATATAATGTTAGAGGCGATTCAGCAAGTTCAAGTTCAGCCATGAACCTCGTTGGAAAACCTATATTACATCGCAAATCTGGGAACATTTTGGATTTGTGGCGAACGAGAAGGGTGAACCAACAATTTGGATGAAGCTATTTGTAGGGCTTGTTTTAAAAAAAAAAAAACAAGCGTTAAATGGACAAACACGTTGAATCTCCATCTGGAGCCATCCATATGCGGAGCCAGCTCCAATCATGTCATCTTCACAACGCAAACACCCAACTAGTCAGCCAGGTATTGCAGAGGCCTTATCAAAAATGTACAAATACAAAAGAGAAAGTAATAAATAGTAGACGTAGACAACAAGAAATGGAGCAGCATATTTGGAAGCTGATAACACGCCGTTCCGCAGTGTAGAGAAGCCAGCTTTCCAAGCAAGATACCCTCTCTTTGCCACGGTTGCGAAAAAGTATCTGCGCTACAGGCACACCGTCTGAACGGGTATTCAGTGCTACTGGAAACATTGAAATCCCAATTAGGTCTCCGCTTAAACCGGACAAAACCAACATGTTAGCTTTTCTGGCAAAATTTTTTAAATATAAATAGAAAACAAAAGGCGGAGAGACACTGTTTTTTCAACATCTGACTTATATCGTTACAGGCCTAATAGGCTAATATTTTTGTTCTTTTTCTTATTATCATCAGTTACTATTTATATTATTGATTAGTATATTGTCATTTTAAACTATTTGTGAAGTTCTTAAAATGTAACATTTCATTGTTATTATACTGTTTCAAGCATAAAGTTGTTTAATATTTAACTATGTTATTTTAGGCTGTATTGTGTTGTTTTATCAATGAAAGTTAAACAATAAACACGTACGTTTGTACGGATATTTTAGCATAATACTTTGGTCTTTGTTATTTCTTATTTTTTGCATAAAATGTAAATTAACCTATGTAAATTAAATCAAATAAATAAAACAGCTTACGAAAAGGATGCAATGAAGAACAAGCATGCTCTTAATCATTCTTCATAATCTTATTTTGCAGCCTACATGGAATAAACCCATATTGCGCTGACAAGAACAAGCTCCAAAAGTTAAAGTCTAAAGCGAGTGGAGTTATTGATATGTTATTAATATTAGTTGTTAATATTAATGATCATATACATGATCTGCGTTGTATAATAATTGCTGTCACGGTGTCGTGTCTGCGAATTTTTTTATTTTTTTAAATTTTTTTTCTCATTGAAGAGCAGATAATTCATGTTATCGCCGTCTTCCCAGCCAGGTTTTCATCCACAGTTTCCACTTTAGTTTCTGTTCTAACAATGAAGTATCGTCATAGCAGGCCCGGCGGCAGGATGTCCTAATTGAGAAATAGTTTTGAAACAAATCTTTGCGCTTAACTAACGAAATAACGTACAACACGTTTCCTTATCCACGAGAGTGAAAGTGAAAGTAAAGAATGAGGAGGCTCATCTCTCATTCTCCTGCTGCAGGTGCTTTGTTTAACTATTTTCTTACTAGTGAAACCCTCAGTTTTTCCACTTACAAAGTCCGTCATGTAAATGGCAAATGCGCTATGGCACAAAGAGAATAAGAGATGAGACTCTGATTGGTTTATTCTCAAACCACACCTATAACCCATTAGGAGAATAAGCTGAACCCTTTTAAACCATGTGCCATGGTGCAAAGCAAATTTTTCCATCCTTAAAATAGCAAAAATGGATTCGTACACACTTAATGCTTTTGCGTCCTGCGCTTTGGGCTTGGATCCTCAAAATAGAGCCCTTGAGGTTAATTGTCATTTTCTTTCATCACACGCAGCGCACACACACATGAACCAAAATAAGTCATAATCATAAGTGATAATCTTTAATCTAATAACTTTTATTAAAAATGTTGACTAAGGTTTTGTGAAATAATAATAACAGCAGAGCATTAATTAAATGCATATTTCCTGTGGAACGATCGATTTGAGGTAGCCTGATATTTTTATTTAACAAAAGAACAAAATATGATTGGACAAACAGCAGACCCTCATCCATTGGACCAGCTCCATCTTCTGGTCCAAAAAAGAAAGAAAAAGAAAGAGTTTTAAGGACTTACAACCCAG